AAAGTTCGATTTTTCCTCTCAACAACTCCATTTTGTTGAGGGGTTCTAGGTGCTGAAAAATTATGGCTAATACCATTAGAATTACAAAACTCAATAAATCCAAGATTTTCAAATTCAGTTCCATGATCACTTCTAACACTAGTGATAGAGTAACCTTTTTCATTTTGGATTATTTTTGAAAATGTGATGAAATTTTCTAATGCTTCATCTTTAGTACTTAAGAATAGAACCCAAGTGTATCTAGAATAGTCATCTACCAAGACAAATGCATATTGTTTTCCTCCCAAGCTAGTAGTTCTAGTTGGCCCAAAAAGATCTAAATGGATCAATTGTAATACTCTACTAGTTGATACATCATTAATAGATTTAAAAGAAACTCGTTTTTGTTTTCCTTTAGCACAAGCATCACAGATTTTATCATTATCAAATTAAGCTTAGGCAACCCTCTTACTAAGTCTCCTTGAATTAACCGTTGCAAAACACTCATACTAGCATGACCTAGTCTCCTATGCCATAACCAACTATCATGCTCATCCTTAGCAACTAGGCATAAATTAGTCATATCAATAGAATCTAAATGCACCATATAAATGTTTCCTATTCTATGACCAACAAGCATAATCCGATTAGATGCAATGTCAATGACTTTACAACCATTAATTTCAAATAAAACATTGAATCCTTTATCGCATAATTGACTAATACTCAATAGATTATGCTTTAATCCATTCACATATAAAACATTCTTAATTTGTATGGAAGAGGTATTACCTATTATACCAATACCTTCAATGTGACCTTTTGAATTGTCTCCAAAAGTCACTTCTCCTCCATTTTTGGCGTTAAGCTCAATGAACCGGCTTTTGTCTCCGGTCATATGTCTTGAGCATCCACTATCAAGGTACCATGAATTTGAATTTGTTTCCCGTGCCTTGTAGCAATGCTCCTTTCCCTACAAACATAGATTAATTTTGATTTTTGGTACCCAAATTATTTTGGGTCCATATTCATTAGTTTCCAAATCCTAGTCCCCTTAGGTATCCATTTGTGTAGGATATTTTTATCTTTAGTAGTAATGAGTTCTTTAGGAACCCACATACTTCTAATGATTTTTCCATTAGAGGTTCTTTGGGGACCTCTATGATTGTAGTTTCTAAAACTTTTTCTAACAAAGTTGGATTTTGAATTTCCACCTTTTTCAAAATGTTTTGTTCCAACTTTATCAAAAGAAGTTTTAAGATCATCAATTTTCTTTTGATGATCATCATTGATCTTTGAAAGTAAATTTTGCAAATCTAAAATTTTCTTTTCAAACTCTTCTAGTTTGATTTGCAAATCTTTAATTTTACTTTCAAGATCGTTGTTGGTTTTGGATATGAGTTTGTTTTCATTTTTCAATTTTGAAACATCATTTTTATATTTTAAAAACAATTTCTCATAATCCGAAGCCAACCCATTGTACTCCTCAAATAACTCATCATAAGATAAATAATCAAAATCGGATGAGTTAGAGGTTACCTTAGAATATTCCCCGAATGCCATCAAGCACAAGTTTGCTACTTCTTGTTCCTCTTCATCGGAACCTTCTTCATCGCTCCATGTAGCCACATGAGCCTTGTGCTTATTCTTTGATTGACCCTTTCTTTTCAATTGTGGGCAATCATATTTGACATGCCCTGGTTTTTTGCATTCATAGCAAATGATCGGGTCCTTCTCTTTTGGTTCATTTTTGAGGCCTTCGTTTCATTTGAATTTTCTTCCTTGGTAAGGTCTCATCATTTTTCTGAACCGTTTGGCAAACAATGCCATTTCCTCGTCATCATCATCATTATTAGAATCACTCTCATCTTTTGTGGATTTGAGAGCAACTCCAATATTTTTCTTCTTCTCCTTTTCCTTTGGTGTCTCTTCAACTTTATCAAGGTCCACCTCATCTTCGAGCATCATCTCATGAGTGAGGAGTGAACCGATAAGTTCTTCAAGAGTTAAGGACGATAAGTCCTTAGACTCGATGATTGCCGTATTCTTTGATTGCCATGATTTTGGGAGGGAGTAGAATAACTTCCTCACAAGCTTTTCATTTAAGATGATCTCTCCATATGATTTGAGACCATTGACAATCGTTGAAAATCTATCCGTCATAGCTTTGATGTCTTCATTTGGTTTCATCCTGAAATTTTCATAGCTATGCGTTAGAATACTAATTTTTGATTTCTTTACCTCATATGTACCTTCATGTGTGACTTGAAGCTTGTCCCATATTTCTTTGGCGGTTGTACACGATGAAACTCTTCCGTATTCATCTGGTCCAAGAGCACAAAAAATAATATGGATGGCTTTGGAGTTGAGCTGGAACATTATTGTCTCTCATTCACTCCACAACCTTGGATGAGTGATAGGCTTGATGTATCCTTCTTCTACGACATTTCATGCTCCCATGTCACTTGCTTGAATGAAGTACATCATTCTATTCTTCCAATAGGCGTAATTAGCTCCATTGAAGAAAGGAGGCTTGTTGACGGGCATCGAATCAAGACCGGAGTCGTAATTTGAAGTGGAGGCCATTGATGACTTGGTAATCGATGTAACTCTTCCCGAATCGACTCAAGAGGAGATTAAACCTTCAAATGAGTGAGGCTCTGATACCAATTGTTGAGTTAATCGATCTACGGAATCGGCCAAGAGAGGGGTGAATTGGCACTTAAAAATTTCGTGGAAGCTTTTGCAGAAAATTTAAAGTAATTGCACAGCGATTTACAGTGGTTCGACTTTCTCAAACAAAGTCTACGTCCACTACCTTAGCTATCCACACTAAGGATTTTCCAACAAATTCACTAATTTGTTCTTTCTTTTGAGGCCAAAGAGATAACCTTACAAAATCCCTCAAGAGTATACCCCAACTCTTGAGAACACTCTTTTTCCCAAAGAGAAGATTACAAATTTGCAAACTTACAAGAAAACCTCACAAGGTAAGATGTTTGCACAATTCTAGAACAAAGAAAAGAACACTCAAGGATAAATACAATTGAGTACAAAAGTGTTCTTGAAAGCAAATGAATATTGGATGAAAAATAGGCTTGAAATACTCAAACTTGAGGTTTGATGCTTTCTCTTTGATTCTCTCTTGATTCTAGTTGATTGATGTTTCTTTTTCTTGATCAATGGCTCCAGAACTTGTTTAAATACCCCTTGAATCAATTCTGAACGTTGGTGATAATTAGTGGGGATAATAGAGCCGTTTAAGTGTGAAAACAATTAATTTTTCTAGGTGGAGCGTCTCATGCATCGATGCATGATCAAGTATGCATCGGTGCATTCGTGTAAAATTCAAATATTTTGACCGTTGGAACACTTGATGCATCGGTGCACCAAGTGTGCATCGATGCATGAAATGCATTCGATGTTTGAAAAATAGCCTGATGCATCGATGCATGGCTTGTGCATCGATGCATCAAATGCATTCGATGTTTTGAAAATATTCAGAGTGCATCGATGCATGGAGATTGCATCGGGAATGCATTCGATGTTCAATTAATTCATTGATGCATCGATGCATGTACTGATGCATCGGTGCATGCCTTTGAATAATTGATTTAAGGCTTGTTTTTGGTTCAAAATACTTTGTGAAAATTGTTTCAAAAATAGTTTAAGTACAAATCACAATTTTACACATTTAGTAAGGATTAAAATTGATCTTGAAAAACTTGGAGTAATAATTTGATATTCAGTTAATTGAATCGAATATAAAATTGTAAAATCATTTGTAAAATCTTAAAATTCATTGAACTTAATTTGTTATATCGAAATATCAAAAATGTTTTCAACAACATACTTACACCAGTATAATTATGTGTTTATTTTTAGATATCAAGATATTAGGAGATGTACCAGTGTAAACATGTGTTCATTTGTAAGTACCAAGTTATTAGAAGATGTATATATTTACACCGGTATAAGAATGTATTAACTGATACACTATTTTATTTTATTCATACTACATGTATGAGTTGTACAAAAAATATCATGTCAAATTATTTGACAGAATTAATAAAAAATATAAAATTATAATATAAAAAACTTTTTATAAAAATTAATCCTAAAAACAAAAATAATAAAACACATATAAAAATAAATTCAACAAACACATATAATAAATAATTAAAATAAAATAAAAATTGATATTATTTTTTATTTTATATGCATTATATTATTTTATAATAAATGTTAAAAAATATGAAACCATTAAAAAAATAAAATAATTTTATAATTATGTAATTATATATAGAATAAAAAATATTTTAAAATGATTATATGATTTTAAAAGTATCATCATCCTAAGATAAGAAAATTATCTAATATCTAAAAAAATAGACAAATTAACATTCTGAAAAAATACTAAAAAATTATCATTGTTTATTAGTTCTGGTAGAAAATACTCTTAAATCAAACGTCAAAATATGTGTTCAAAAACTTATAAGTCTAATAATAATTTTGTTCTATGAACCAAATGCTCCCTGAAACCGTTTTTGACTAGTTGTACCAATCAATAAAATATTAAAAATAATTATATATAAGCTTTTTTTGAACAGTTATATATAAGCTAGTTAAATGTAGGGTTGGAGTGAAATAAAATATATGAAAGAAAGCATTTGGGGGGGGGGGGGGGCTACTGGGTTTATGATCTCTCTCTTTCTCTCATCTGACAAAAGGAAGAAGAGCACAAAAACCTCGAATTTTCTTACTTTATTTTTCTCTCTCAACCCAACCGCAATGATGGTGAAGTCCTCTTTCTGTGTCTCCTCTCCATCGCCATCATTGTTCCCACTCACCTGGCTTTATGATCATTACCTTCTTCACATTCTTCAAAGTCTGTCATCATTTCATCAAACCAAAAAGAAGAAGAGGAAGAAAAGAATATATCAGAAGCAGCTAAAGAAGCAAAGGTGATGTTGTTTTCAATTTCAAGTGGGGGTCGAGGAGGAGAAGAATAGAAAAGGGAGGGACTTTCTCTTTCAACCTCTAGCCTTTTTTCTTGGTTTTGAGTGATGGATCCTTTGTCTTCTAGATTTTCCAAGTCCTTTTTTTGGGGGAATCAAGCATCTTGGTCCGAAAGATTTGCTTCCATCGAAGCAAATTTAGTACTAGCTTATATCTTTTAAGTTTTTTTGTTTGGGTTTTATGCTTTTCTTGTTGTGGTATTGAAGAAAACTAGGAACTGGAAGAAGTTGTGTGTTTTATTTGTGTTCTATTCGAGATCTCTCTTTTCTACATATGAACTCTTTAACGTACTTTCTGCGATTCATACAATCTGGTCTTTTCTTGATCTAAAGTTTCATCATATATATGTATGTGTATGTATTGAAATGGTTTTTTATGCCCATATCAACAGATATATCATGTTCATCATAAATTAAACTGTAGTTTTTAGGGTTTTTGAAGTTCAACCCTATCTTCTTCCAATTTTTTTTTTGAAAAACCTAAAAGTATACCATTTTGGTCTTTGATCTTATGATTAAACTCATCACATCATGATTCATGAGCTTGACATAAATAATAACTTGATAGAAACAATCAATCTATACACTGCACACATGCTATCAGATCAGTCTTATTCCTTTTATACGATATTTCTTTTAATTCCTTTCTTTGTGTCTATACTAAAACACTTATAGGATATCGGATAATTAGAACTGTGTAATCCAGAAAGAGAAGAAATATTATGATATTGCCTTTATATTTCATCTTTGTGTTACAGAATCTTTGTCTGACAGATCTATGTATATATATAATCTGATCCAAGTAGAAATCTTGGACTTTGATTTAAAAACAAAACTGTTTAGCTTCAGTCTTATTCAAAGGCAACAAAAACAAATTGTAAAGTACCCCTTTATTGGTTAAATAAGATGAAGTTTACTGTTTTGAAAGCTTATGATGTTCTTCTGTAGGATCATTTCTTTTCCCTTGATTGTGTTTTTCCACTATTCTCCATCAAATAGGTCAGTTTTTTTATAATATATGAATCTAGTAAATGATGAAGAGAAAGTTATATCTCCAAAGGTTTATGATCCGGGGGTTAATCATTGTTTTGATGAAGAAGCAGTGCAAGGGGCGATGCATGTATGTTTTAGTGATTAAAATCCCTTTCACCATTAAAAGTAAAAGTGAAGAAGTACATTCAACTTCATTTATGGCTTTGACAACTTATACATATCAATATTTTACTTATGGTATGTTTGGGGGCGATACATGCTTGGATACCATACGAGTATATTTAATCTCTCTTAAAAAAGTATTTTAAAGTTTTTTAAATAGTATAAAGTGATTATTATATATTATTTGTTTATAGTTTTTTCATATATTATTTGTTTATACTTTTCTTAATCATTATCTCGTGTATTTTGTTTATAATTTTTAATGTATTATTTTATTTATAATTTTTTTAATCATGATCACATACGTGACTTTTTAGATGTAACTGTTTGAACTTAAAAAGTACTTATTCAATCACTAATATTGTTTCTAAAATTTTTCTTATATGAATTTTTTTTTAAGGAATTCTTATACGAATTGAATGAAGAGTTGGATATAATTTGATTAGTTATTCTATGTATCCATATGCGTACTTTCATATATAGAACTAATCTAAATCAATGCCTAGTATATACATTGGTGTATTTTTTTTGTTGAGTAAGGCAATTATATATTGATCAGAGTCTTTTATTTGTGTTTGATACCTGTATTTTATGCGTAGGTGATTCTAAATTTTTTTTAGTGATTTTAGTAATTGAGAAATGACTGAAAAGGCATTTATTTGAAGCCCGGAAAAGGAGAAACCCACCGCCTAACTTCCAAAACCATTAAAACAAAAAAAACTCCACAATATAATACCCAAGACTGAAAACTCATTATTAAAGTAAGTATTTTTTTAAAGAAAGGGTGGTCTCGTTAAAAACTCCTAATCTTAATGAGAAGAAAAGAGTGCCCAAAAGATATATTATTCAGAATCAAAATTATTTGATACATTAGAATCAATAAGCTCAGGATAAATCGAGCCAAAGAACAAGACACTCATAAACAAGGAAATACAATACATTGTTAGCTAATTTATAGCACGAACATCCTACAAGTGAAAAAGAGAGGAAATATCCTCAATGTCACTACACAATTTGTTGACAACAATTGTTGAGTCAGACTCGAAGACCACCATTTACCATTGATTCTCACGAGCAAACGTTAAGTTAGCAACAAGGACATGTATCTTAGCGAGTCCGGCTTCCACACAGGACGATGAAGAAAGAGCCATGTCACCCAGCGGAAGCCCTACCACGAGAAATTAAACCCACAGCTGCCAAGCGTCGTTTGGGATCGAAGGCACCATCGACATTAATCTTGACGTTATCTAGGTGCGGGGGGAGTCCAGCGTTCATCCTCGATGCGCACAGAAGTTCCCGGATGATGGGAAGGTGTCATCCTGTTACCACTAGCTCCAAACCTGGTTCAGGAGGGCAGCACCACAAATAGGTGGGGAGGTCGTGATTTGCTTCAACGTGACTCTTGGCTGAGAGATACTCTATGTGCAACACCTTAGTATTGGTAGCAAGGAGCCAGGGAGGTTGGATCTTGTCGTCATGAACCTTAACATTACGATCGTTCCAAACGTTCTAGAGAAGAACTATAAATCCTACAAAACCGTTCACACCAATTTCAGAGAAAGCATCTTCTAACCTGAGAAAAGGAGAACTCAGATGGCTAGAGAGAAAATTACCTTGATAACCTACCGACACAAATGTATCCTTAGCATAGAAGCAATCTCTCAAGGCATAAGAATAAATTCCTCCATCATATAACACGTAGGACATAAACCATCACCTAAGTCTGTCGTATGAAGTCGCCGCCCCACAGACAGACCCCCATGTGCCATATGCCAAGCAAAGACACGTACCTTTGGTAGAACTTGCAATTTTGCAATCTTCCTCCAAACTCTAGAGGTTGTTTCAGTGGAATGCGTCTGACGTTGGAGCCACTAGTAGCCTGACCTGACGAAATAGGTGTCGGAATCGTGATTATCCCAGATTAAAACCTCCTCCTGGCAAGGTGCTATGGACCTAGATAGTATCACCCCGACATCATCATTATTAAAGGACTCACGAATTCTAGGTTCATTCCAGAAAGGCTAATCAACATGCACAAATATGGACACGTTAATAAGAGATAATTGCACCATATGTCTCCATATTATAACTCCCATTTTAACTTGGTTTTTGAACTTTTAATCTTTAATTTTATCCATAAACTATGACTTTAATTTTGAATTATTCCTTAAACTTTTAAAAATTCTAATTTCATTCCTAAATTATGACCCTTTTTCTAAGTCAATCTTCAAACTTTTGAATCTTTCAATTTCATCATCAAATTCATCCAAATATATAATTAATTTCAATCATAGTTTAGCATAAAATTTATTTTTTAAAAAATATATAATATATTTTATTAACAAGATATGTGATTAATATATACATATAGTTTGAGACGAAATTAAAATGTTCAAAAAATATGGACTAATTTAGAATGAAGGTCATAGTTTGGGGATGAAATTGAAATATTCTAATTTTTGAGGACTAATTTAAAATGATAGTTATAATTTAGGATGAAATTAGAACAAATAAAATTTTAGGGACCAATTTAAAATAAAAAAACAAACTTGGAGAATATATGATACAATTAACTCTTAAAATAGTCATGATACAGAAAATCATCAAGGCTCCAACTTACCATGATGAGTTTTGCAACCGGCATGAAATAATATTCATATCAACTACATTGGCTCTATCGGCAAGAAAATTACAATGACAAAAATTTTAAAAGAAAATCAAGTTTGAAAAATAAAAATTTATTATTTTTATTACTGTATTTGGTAGGAATAAAGATAATTAACTTTTATTTTCATTCATTAGTTAAAAACCGAATAGAAATAATATTAAACTTTTGAAAATACTATTAATTTATATTTATTTTATATATTTTTCTTTATAAATTAAAATGATTTATCTATACATATAATAAATATTCCTCTCATTTTATTTTTGTCTTATTATATTTTACCAAGAACATTTGAAACTACTGTTTTTATCACTTTTCAAATTTTAATTTTTTTTTTTCACTCAACTAAATAAAGTCTAAATTTTCTTCAAGCCGCGTGAATCATGATTTCAGAGCAACTAGCTTAAGGACATGGTTCTTACCAAGTTTCCATGCTTCTACTGCGAGTCATTCTTCTCTAACTTTTTTGTGTGTGTGTTTTTATATGTTTTTATTATTTTAATTATAATCAATTCGTTAAATAATATATATATATAATTTTTATATAAAATATTTTTTCACTTATACCATTTAATTTTATATTAAATGTATATTAATGTAGATGCATCAGTAATCTTATAAATAAACTGTAAACATCTTTGTATTGGCTACATATTGTACGTATTCTTTGTCGTGGTTATTCTTCTCGAAAGGTAAGATCGGTTTAAATAGAGTTGAGTTCGATTATTCAAATTTGAATACAGTCACGTTTGACACAAAGTATTATGTAATTAAAAAATCATATAAATATTAGTTAAAACAAAAACTAATTATATTTTAAAAAATATTCTTTTAAACATTTTGACACATTTTGACGTAGAGACGGGGACATGATCCGAATTTAACATATTTTAATTTAATCCGGCTTAATTATATTGAGTCGGATTTCTTTTAAAAATCCAGGTTCAAGTCATAACAAATTTTTTAGAGTATAAGTTTAGGTCAGGTCTGGTTCGGCTTTGGGTTGAAAAATATTCGATTCAACCTGCAAATAATGTAATTATACCTTATATGTGTAGGAATAATTATAATAATAGTACTCTTTATATTATTTATTTTTTAATTTAATTCCTATTTTATTCGAACAACATTAATATATATTTATATCTATATCAGATCAGGTTAGATACGAGTTTTATTTTAAAAGACATATCAAATTTTGAGTTGAGTAAAATCACCCGAAATTTCAAATGAAAGATACATTTTTATGAGGTAAGCCAAGTTAGTTGAAAATACGTCTCACGTGATCCGTATTTTGGAGCATTTCATAGAAGAGTTAAAAATATATAAAATAATTTCATGGGATGCTTTGGCTTTGTTGATGGTAATTTTATCTAAAAGTCACTTAAAATAATAAAAAAACCAATTTAACATTCTTTCTCGAATATGTACTAAACTAGCACTCTTTCTGACAGATTGAGGCTGAGGCACGTTGTGTGAAACACACCTTGCTGAGGTGGAGGAAAGCCA